GAAGCGGCTGCTCTGCAGAAAGCACTGCCCTGTGTGTGGCATCAGCCCAGTGGAGAAGCTGTGCTGGCAGCATGAGGACAAGGAGCTCTCACCAAGGTAGGAACCACTCAGGATGCTCTGTAGCACTGCGGCTTTTTGGGGGGCCAGCTGGTCCGGGCAGCTGCAGCATCTGGGCTCTCACCAGCAGCACCTGCCTAGCAGAGCAGAGCCTGGGTATGTTGCAGGTCCTAGAGCCTGGGCAGGGGGGGAGGGACTGTTTTCCAGCAAGGGAACCATTTGGGACAGTGCAGATCTCTGTTCTTGCCAACCCTGTATGGGGAGCAGTGATATTCACTCTACAGGAGCTGGGAGCACCCTGTGTTTCTGACCTTCTCACCCAAGTGTCAACAAGGCAGCCACTGGGATTTTTTTGGCCTCGCTGCAGGTCCTGCAGCAGCACTGCACATCAGACGGCTCACTGCTGCAGGTATGGTGCTGTGGGCTGTCCACCACAGTGCAGCAGGCTAGCCATGTTCAAGTGGGGCTGCTTCAGGCTCTGCGAGTCCCCAGCTGCCTGCAGTGCTAGGAGACAAGGCTCCCCCCACCAGTGCTGCTGTGGCCATCATCTCTAGTTGTTCTTACAGCAGCTGCCTGTCCCACAGCTGCTGTCTGTCCTGCAGCTTGGCAGTAGTTTTTATCTGGCAGCCCCATGGAGCCCTTGGCAGCTGCTGTACACAGTGGTGAGAGAGAACCACGAAATGTGGTTTGGTTGATGTGGAGCTCTGACCAGCCTGGCTGCACCGATGGGGGGTGCATTCAGGTATTCAGCACAGGGGGCTTTGCAGGGATACTTGTGTGTGATGCTTCAGAAACATAGAAATCTCTTCAGTCCCTACTGCTGCATAGCAGCATCGTCAGTGGGGAGCAAGGAGAGGAAAGCTGAGCCTAGGATCAAGGGGGATTGCTCAGCCTTAAAGCTGAGTGAATGAGCAGCACTGAGTGAATGAGAAGTAGAAGGAGAAAGCAGGCTTGGGTGAAACCCTGCTTGTCTGGAGGCAGCAGGGAAGGGAAGACTTTGGGAGGGGAACACTGCGGAGGCTTGAGCTGTGATGCGCTGTGGAAGTGTGGGGGCAGAGTGTCTGGGAAATCCGTGAATCCACACCCAGCTTGATGGAGATGAAGAGGAAAACACCAACGAAAAGAGAATCAGGGAGATGGTGGGAGAACATAGGCACTGCAGGCCTGCATATGATCCCATGAAGGTTTCTTTGCAGTTGTTGTTCTAACATGCCTGTTTCAGCAGCTCGGCTCAAGAGCTGGAGAGCAAAGGGGTCTGGAGTAACACGTGGGGTGGGCAGAGCCTTTAGCCATCTGGGACAAGTGAAAGGGGATTCATGGAGCAAACACAGCCAGGCTGTGTGAGAAGGGCAGGGCAAGGTGCTGGAGTGGGAGAGTGAGCAGCAGGCACATACGGGGCAGCACGTTCCCTCACCGGAGCATGATCTGCAGTCCTGGCAGAGCTTGGTGCAAAGCAGAGCTCAGTGGAAGCTGCTGGCACAGCCACCACTAAGTGCTTTGATCCTCTTCTGAAATGGAAATCACAGGGCAGCTTGTGGTGGGCTAGTATGGCAGTGGGCTCTGCATATGGCACAACTTCATCCCAGGTACCGTGTAATGAATGAGAGTGATGGGATGGCACAGAGGCTGTTTGCCTGCAGGTTGGGGTCCTGTCCCGCTCTAGGTATTGTTTAGGAACAAAGTGGGACAGCATTTCCACTGATCTCAATCAGTGTGGCAGCGATTGGGATCTAAACCTCTCCTGTCACTCTGTGGTGTGTCGATGAAGCTGTCCCTTTGGCAGTTTGCTGAGACTTATGGCCTTTCTCCCACCCATTATTCGCCATATGTGGTCTCTGCAGAAGCGCTGAGCTTTCTGCAAAGGGGAGGTGGTAGGAGCTTGGCTTTTGCGTCTGAAAAGTACAGTGAGGTGGCAAGCGCTCTGCACAGCCAGCCTCTTGCTATCTGGAAGCGTCTCTGTCTTTCAAACATTGACAATTCCTGCTTAATTCACAGAGATGCTCCAGTAATAAACACTCTCTGGTTTTGAAGCTTCTGAGAACTGCAGCAAAAACCATGGGGAAAATGAACTGATTGGGCTCCCTGGGGAAAGAAGGGAATGGAATTGCTTGCTAACAATATGCTAGAAGCCAGGGCCATGTTTACACACATGGAGGGAGATGGGAAAGCCAGGCAGGAAGGCAAACTGTAATGTGGCTGCAGGACAGAGCTGGGGCAGCTGCCTCATCTCAGGTGCTCCCCCCGTCTGTAACTAAGTTCTGAAGGTGCCTTGGCATGCTGGACATCCAAGCACTGTGGAAATGATTGGTTCACTGGCACTCCTGCTTATATTGGAGGCCTCCTCCCATAGCTGGGCTTCCAGCAGGCATGGGCCGTGTGATAGAGTGCAGACGGTGCAGGGTGGCAGTGTCATGCTGGATTCTACTATCCTCAGGTACAAGAGGAGCCAGGCCAAGACTCACCCCCAGAGCTTGGCCAGCCCTGGGCGTCCCTCACCTTGCTGGTTCCTGGTGCTGTCTATGCGGATGTGGCACCAACTTCCCTGTGGGTCCTCACTGCATCCATTGTGGCTGTGCCCAGGAGTGAGGCAGCGACAGTGTGGCCATCTAGGCCTGTGCTGGCTGTGCCTGGGCCAGACACATCTGCAGGGTTCAGCTGGGAGGTGTTGTGCTTCCAGGGCTCCTCCATAGCTCTGTCCCTCTCTTTCACTGGCAGCGGTTCCCATCCTGTGCAGGACAAGCATGGTGGAGGGGGTTCTGCATGAAGCAGACATCAACCTTAGAGGCTGAGTGGCTTTGTGCCTGCTCCTGCCTTCCCCCAAGATGTGCCCCTTCTGCTGTGCCACGACCTCTGGGGCTCGGCAGCAGCCATGGGGCTCTATTCATTGGGGCTGCTGAAATGTGGCACTGTGCGAGATGGGGAGGTCTCACACCAGGCACTGGTTCGCAGAACTTATTAGTTACAGACTGTGGTGCAGGCATGCTTACTGTGATGCTTTTCCAAGTGGCAACTCTGTCCCAACCTGCCACAGCCATATAAGCTCCACTAGCATCAAGCTGCAGCTGCAACAAAAAGCCCGCAGCTTCTATGGGCTTTGCAGTTGGGCCCTGAGCCTGGGAGCACTGTGGGGCTCTGCTGTCCCTCCTGGGTGCTCACACTGCTGTGGTGGGAACAGACTCAGGGACGGACCTGATGGGCCCCCCTGGAAAGGGCCCTGTTTGCTTTTCACACACTGTGAGCCCTTGGTCCCTCTTGCAGCAGGGGCAGCAGGTGCTGGTGGTCTGATGATGCCAAGGAGCTGGGTAGCACCTGTGTCCAGCAGAGCTGGAGGGGAATGCATGAGCCCACCCCCACTGGGACCAGTGAAGAGGGTGGAGGGAAGTGGGAAGGAGCAGCCAGGCCATGGCAGAAGAAGGAAGTGATGGGTTTGGGGGCCACATCAGACACCTGGCTAGGGACACTGTCCTTGCACTGGTGACTTTGCATGTAGGCTCAGCCACCCTGAACTCCTGCATCCGTGCTCTCAACAGCCTCAGCAACTCCTCCTACTTAGAGCCAAAAGCACGGTCCCCAGAGCTAGTCTTCCAAGCAGATGCCCCATGTGCTGACAGGGGCTAGCGCTGCTGCTGGGGCCAAGTGTGGATGGCATAGGGCGGCAGGGCCAGGCTGAGCCCCACAGAGTGGGCACTCACAAGCCAGCCTGGCTCAGCCTCCTCATCCTCAACCAGAAGCTTTGAGCTGGAGATTGGAGAGCAGTGCTAGCGGGAGAGTGGCAGTGCAGCCCCATCTGCCACCCCTGGGCAAACTCTGTGCCAGAGCTGAGACTGTTCCTTGGGGCTCAATGTGTGGGCATGGGGGGAAGAAAATTTAGAAACTTTCAGTGAATAATTCAGGGTGGTTTGGGGCCCGAGTGATTGCTTTCATGTAGAGATCCCGTATTAATTAAAAGAAGTGTTTTGAAGTGATTCATACAGAGAGCATGTAAATTTTAATCTGAAGTTGAAAAGCAGCCCTCTGTTGCATTTCCTCCATGGAAAAAATAAACTGGCAGTGACCTTCAGAGCCCTTCTCTTGCCCTCAGCCAAGCACTCGGGGTTAGCAGGATCAGAGCTCTCCCTTGCCACAGGACCTGCCTGTCCCCTTCCCTGTCCCAGCTCCCAGCTGGGCCCGGCACAGAGGCAGCTGTCTGTTTCTGACTATCCTGGGTTGTGGCTCTGACCTGGCTCTTGCTCTCTCATACATGCTGCAGAGCGTGTGGCTAGGTGGGACTCACAGGGCTGTCAGTGGCGGGATGCAGTGTCACCAAGCAACTTTGCCATCCCCCGGGCAGCAGTGTCCATGGCGTGGAGCGGGTTTGTTCTCTTTGTTTCTCTTTCCTGCATTCGCTGCAGCTTTTCTGGGAGACGGAGATACTGTGCTACAAAGTATAATATCGGAAGGACGAGGACAATATAAAGGTTTCAAAAATCTGTAACTCAGCACCCCAGTGAAGGACAGTAAGCACTGAAACTGCTTTCTGCTGTGTTCCTGGCCCCAGCTTTGCATTTGCATGGTGTACAGACCAGGAGCTGGAGGCAGAGGTCCCATCTGCCATGTGGGCTTTGACCACGCCGGCCATGGGAACACAGCGGGCTGGGAAGTCCAGAGGGAAAAACAGCCATCCCAGATGCGGCGTGTGAAGCTGTCCACGTTTGCAGTTTCCTGTGTGAATGCAGTGTTTTGACCTGACTCACAGCCTGACTTTTTTTCCTCCCAGAAAAAAACCTTTAGTCAATTTCATAATATATCTTACATATATAATATAGATATTGTATCCATGATAAATATATTTTTTCTTCTGAATTTAAGAGTGGACCCTGAACTGCATCCTCCATACCCACGTCTCCATGGTGCATGCAGGGCTGTGCAGTGGGTGTGAGGAGTTCTGTCTTGCTCTTTTACAGTGCTGGGGCAGAGTGACCAGCAGCCATGACGACAGAGATGGGCCCTGATTCAGAAGTGAAGAACGTGCAGGAGGAGGCCCCGCAGCAGCAGCTGGAGGCAGCCACACACGGCCCTGCTGCCACAGCTGCTGGCATTGCCAGCATTGCCGAGGCCAGTGAGAAGCCTGGAGCACAACCTGACAGCCGGAACACAGAGCCGGTGAGTGAGAGTGAGAGGAGCCCAGGAGGGAAAGGATGGCTCTGGGTGACTGAAGGTAGCTTTAGCTTCCAGCTGTTTCCAGCAGCTCTTGGTGTCAGACCAGAACAGGGCACTTGGCATACCCAGCCCACAAACTGCTGCCTGCAGGGAGGAGGGAGCCCTAGCTGTTATATGCCAGACCCTTTATAAGTGCTGTTTTCTGGTGTGCTGTGACTTTGCAGCCTCTTATCCTTCCCTGAAGGTTGGGCATGCTCCCTGCTGCAGGGCAGGGGCACTGTAAGCAAGATGCGGGCTTTGCCCAGCCACTTTCTCAAGTAGCAATTTGTGTCCTGAGCACTGCAGGCTGGGCATGCACATGAGAAGCCTGTGCAGGTCAGCAGATGAGCTTCGTGCTTGCACTAAGGGCAGAAGGCAGCAGGTGGCCAAGCATCCTAGAAACTGAGCTACTTCAGCAAGGCTGGGAGCAACAGGTACACCCCAATGGCCACCACCAGGCAGGGAGCCTCAGCTCCACACTGCTGCCAATGCTGCCAGCAGCCATAGAGCTGCCTCAGCTTCCCGAGCAGGGAGGTCTCAACTGCTGAACCAGCACCAGACTCACAGGCATACTTTTTCCAGAGTCCATCCATGACTATACCAAAACAGCGTGGGATGGGGGAACTGCTTGTAGCATGGAGTACTGCATTGCTAAGGGATGGAAGCAGAGGCTTCCATCCTTGCAGTGATGCCAGGTTACCATGTGCATCTCTCACTCTCCAGGGCACAGACATGGAGGAGAAGGACTACAGCGAGACAGATGGGCTATCTGACAAAACAACGCCTAGCAAGACCCAGAAGTCACCCCAGAAAATCAACAAGAAAGTCAAAAGTGCTCTCTGCAGAGTGACCCTGCTCGATGCCTCTGAGTATGAGTGTGAAGTGGAGGTGAGTCGTGTGCTTGGGGAAGGTACGCTGGAACTGAATAGGAGATGTGTCAGCCCAAGGCTGGTCTTGAGCAAATCCCCAGTGTCATGGTTCTTCCAAGGACAGCTTTGTAGTACTTCTTATACAGACAAATGATCCACAGGAATAACTGTTCAAGTTGGAATTTCAAAACAAAGAAAAAGGCTGGGGAGACAGACCCTAGAAGGCAGTTTCAGCCCAGAGTGCCCAAATTTGTTAGCTAGTTGCTATCAAAAACAGTGTCTAGGAAGCAGAAGTTGGAGAAAAAGCTTTGCCTTCAAATATGTGCCTGAAAATATGTGCATGACACATACATATGCCAGTGTATCTGTTGACACCTCAGGAGTGCAGCATGTTTGCTGTCCTGCATGCCAAGGCAAAGGATATGTGTGCGTGTGTTTGTGTGAAGAGGCCAACGTGTGCAGGCACACATGGCTCTCCCAGACAGGTTTGTGTGTGCACACAGACCCACACACAGTTTGGCAGTGCTACAAACTGCACCTTACCCCATCCTCACTGTTTTCATCTTCTCATCCCTCTCTGTTCCTCCCCATGGAGCTAGCAGCGCAGGGACTGTTTGGGAGGTGTGCTGAAGCCTGGCAGTAGTGTGTGTGTGTGTGTGTGTGTAAACAAAAGTGATTCATATGTGCTGTTGATGCGTCGTGTGTGCGGGCAGGGCAGTGGGCCAGGCACCCTGCTCTGGGCACATGTCTGCTCACTATTTGTGCACCATCACACACATGTAGTGTGAGCACATGATTGTCTGGTAGTGGCTGTCACTGCAGGAAGGAACAGACGGACTGGTGCCCACCAGAGGCAGCCTTATGCTGGGATACACTCCAGGGCTGCTTGAGCTGCTATCAGCGCAGTGAGGAAACACCCAGCATTAAATCAAGGGTAGAGTTTGGACTGGTTCCTGCAGTATGGGTCTGGGGAGGAGGCTCTGAGCCTGCTCAGAGGAGGGGTGTTTGCTAGGAGAGCACATTTCTGTCCCTCACTTGTGCTGCTGTCTCCTGCCTGCAGGATCGAGGGGACAGCACTTCTCTGACATGTAGCATCTTCCTGATGAGAGGGACATTTCTGAGAAACTTTATGTGAAAAATGCAAATGCTGAGACTGTTCAGAAGCAGAAATCCTCAAGCCTTTGCCAGGGAGACCTTTGCACTTGCTGCTGATGAGTGAGTGAAGGCGTCTTGTTCCCAGCATGGTGACAGCAGCTTGTGAGTCTGGCTGCGCATAGCAGACCTGCATCTGTATGCAGGTCCTGGTTCTATGAGGTCTCAACTGTGCAGGATTAATGAATGTAGCTTCCTGCTCTCTGTGGCTGCACTGGAAAAGTGAGTGCCCCAAGGCAGTTACTGGGAGCTGGGGGGCTGGCCTTTGTGCTGCAGCACTGGCAATAATGGCCTTGGTGTCTCAGCTCCGGCAGCCCTGACTGTCATTTCAGTGGTAAGGTCTGCCACAGCAAGCCTTAGTGACTGTGGCAAGATGGATCCTCATGAAAATGTAAGCTCCCTCGAATAGGAACTGGAGCAGAGCACTTGCCATGACTGCAGTAGGCTCATGGGACAAAGGAGAGAGTTTGGTCAGCCCTGAAACAGCATGAGGTGGTGTCATCCTTCTCCAGGCCCAATTTGTGTTTTCCAAGCAAAACCTGCATGCAAACAGAAAGCTGGGTTGTACAGTGGCTGGCTGCTTCATTATCAGAACAATACTTCTCGCCAAGCTTAGGAAAAGCAGAGCTTTACAGTCCCAGCTCCTGCTGAGCTTTGTTTTTAGTCTGTTTTTGTTCCCAGTGCTTGATGTTGGCAGTGTGTTGGGGCATGCGGGACTTTATTCATGGTAAGGTTGACTTCTTTGTTGCAGTGCAAAGCATAGAGTTGACTCAGCAAAGAGGGAGCTTCTGCTCTCTGGAGAAGTCATTTGGGGCATAGGGGAGAGGAGAAGAAATTGTTTAGCGCAGAAAGATATGTGCTGAATTTCTTCTTTCATTTTGCTAGGCTCCATAGAAATAGTTCTGCCATGCCTGCACACAGGGATTGTTAATATTTAATTCTGTAAAAATCAAAAAGAGAGGTCAAACCATTTGATGTGGTAGCCCTTGAGATGCTATGCACTGAAATCCTGCCTTGGAAGTCTGGGTCAGCAGGAAAGGGAGGATAACAGAAAGGGTGTGGTTACTGCTGAGTGAAATGAAAAAGATTTGGAGGTCAGGAGGAATTCGACGCTGGGAGTCTGTCAGCAGTGGGATGCTGGAGCAGTGCTAGTTTCTGTGTGAGTGGTGCTCTTGGCTCCAGTGTCAGATTGCTTGGTGGAGGTACTTGAAGGAATGGGTGCCTCAGAGATAGGAGGTCTGGGTCTCCTGGGCCAAGAAGGCTGTGAGTGTGGGATAAACACATGGGCATCTCCATAAGCGATCCTTATTGCCTCACTGACACTAGTATGAAGCAAAAATATGCAGGGAAGTTCAAAGGGCTGGGTAACAAGGGCCCTTCCATCGCAGCATGTGGCTCAGACTTTTCATGCCTTTCTTTCGTCCTGCTGTGCCTTGGGATCTGGCCACCACTTGCAGCTGGGGAGGGTGTTGGGAAGGAGCTTGTCCTTCAGGCAGCATCATCTCCCAAGAGGTTTGGGGTGTGTTTGTGCCAGCCCTGTGGTATGGGTCAGAGGTGCCTGGGCTGGCTGAATCGCCCTGGCTTGGCACCACCCTCCCCTGATGCCTTTGTCTTCTGGCTCCCTGTGAGCATCTCCATATCTCCTGCAGAAGCATGCCCGAGGCCAGGTTCTCTTTGACATGGTATGTGAGCACCTCAACCTCCTGGAGAAGGACTACTTTGGCCTCACCTTCTGCGACTCCGACAGCCAGAAGGTGAGCCTGGGGGACCCCTCTGTAGCCACCCCACTGCTGAGCAGGGCAGCCTGCCATCTGACATGCTGTCTCCTCCTTTCAGAACTGGCTGGACCCCTCCAAGGAGATCAAGAAGCAGATCCGCAGTAAGTAATTGGTGAGGGCAACTTCCCTACAAGTGCTGGGGCCCACAGGTCTCCCAGGTAGCTTGGCCCCAGGTAGTGTTCATGGTTGAGCCCTTGCTGCTGCTTGTAACTTTCTGCCTTCAATGGGTTCCAGGCAGGTCATGGGACAAGGCCAGGATGCAGCTGGGCACCTGAAGCTCCAGGATGTCATGCATGGGAAGCCTGGGCTGGAAGTGGCTGGAAACTGGGCCCTGTGTGAATTCAGCCACTGCAGTAGGGAAACTCACTTTCTCCCCATTCCCACATCTGTCCTTCACCCTGACCCCAGTGTGATGCCCCTGACTGCTCTGTCCTCGCTGTGCCCTCTACAGGCACATAGGAGGTTCCTGCAAGGTGTGATGCAGGACTGGGGCCTGGAGGTATTGCTTATTCATCTGCGTGTTAGCCCTATCAGCCTCCCCTTCTGCTTGTGACAGGCGTGAGCATCAAAGTGGCATTGGAGAGCAGGGAGAGAGTGGCTAAGACCTCATCACTCCGTCTGTGCCATTTCCTCCTGCCCTGAGTGGGGAGGATGGGGCTGTGGGAGGCATGGAGTGAGCTTGCTTGGATGGGTACCAGGATACAGGAGAGCCTTTATGATGCTGCCTTGCCAGACCATGCACTTGTGAGGCAGAAGCGCCAGTGCCCATGGTGTCACCCCACTGGGATGTATATGACTTTTGCTGTGATTTGCATTTTGGCATGAAGCAATCTGAGATGATGACTCCCAAGGTTGTGATGCTTCTCTCTCCTCAACTGTTTGGGTTGTTTGACCAAATCACATTAGTCTTTCTGGCCAGAGCAGCTGGGAGCTACTCTCAGGGGTTCATCTTCCTTGTGGCTTCTGGAGCTCCCTCGTTCCTGCCCTGCACTGGGTTTTTTTGGAGTCCTGGGACACTTTATTTAAATGCCTGGATGCTCTGTGCAGTCTGCTGGCAGCCATCACAAGCCCTGCCCTTACTGCTCCCTCGCTAGGTGGGCCCTGGAACTTTGCCTTCACTGTGAAGTTTTACCCTCCTGACCCTGCTCAGCTCACGGAGGACATCACAAGGTGAGGTTTGCTATTGGGGCCCCCCAGGCAGTGTGTCCATGATGGGCAGAGCTGCTGAGGCAGCTTCCAGAGGAGTGGGCAGGAGTGTGTGGAGGGCCAGTGCTCAGGCAGGGCAGCAGCTGGGTGGACAGGGTGGATAGATGTCAGCGTCTCACTGCCTCTGTGCATGGCACTTCTAAATTGTGCAGAGTGGGCCTGGGAAAGTGTCAGTGGGAGGTGGAAGCACCCACAGGGAGCCAAGCAGTGTGGGTGTCCTTTCCATGCAGTGTCACAGAGTGCTCTAAGAGCACACACCTCTGTCCCACCCTTACTCTCTGCTTCCTCTTGCAGATACTACTTGTGCCTGCAGCTGCGTGCAGATATCATCACGGGGCGACTGCCCTGCTCCTTCGTCACGCATGCCCTGCTGGGCTCCTATGCTGTGCAGGCCGAACTGGGTGACTACGATGCTGAGGAACATGTAGGCAACTATGTCAGTGAGCTCCGCTTTGCTCCCAACCAGACACGGGAGCTGGAGGAGCGCATCATGGAGCTGCACAAGACCTACCGGTGAGCCCCAGCTGGCGATGAGGGAGGGCACCGAGGAGCTGGCCTGTTTCCCCACTGGGCATCTGGTCATGTGTCCCCTTCTCTGTCTCTCTGCAGGGGCATGACCCCTGGGGAAGCAGAGATCCACTTCCTTGAGAATGCCAAGAAGCTCTCCATGTATGGGGTGGACCTGCACCATGCCAAGGTACTGCGCTGAGGAGCTGTGGGAGTGGTGGCCAGCACTGGGTCTCATCCTGCCATTGTGCCAGCATACCACTGGCAACTAGGGGCTTGCTGTAGGTGCAGCTCTGTTTCCTACAGTTGGTTCAGTGATGTGTGGCCGATGTGTGCCCGAGTTCCTTTGGGGGTGCCCCTTGGGCAGAAGAGCAGAACAGAATTGAAACTACTAGTTCAACATGGGTACATGCAAAGTCATGTATATGGGGTGAGAAAAAACCTGGGTACCAGGACATGCTGGGGAGATCCAGCTGGAAAGCAGCTTAGCAGATAACACCCAGGGACTCCTGGCAGGCAGCAGCTTGAATATGAGTCAATAATGTGCCCTTGTGGCAATGCTTTGCCAATGCTATCCTGGGCTGCATTGGGCAGAGTATTGCCAGCATGCTGAGGGTGGTGATCCTTCCCCCCTACTCTGCACTGGTGAGGCCATGCCTGGACTGCTGTGCTCAGTTCTGGACTCCTCAGTATTCTAAGGGCATGGAACTATTGGATAAAATGCAGCAAAGGACCATGAGGATGATGAAGGGTTTGAAGCACCTCCTGTATAAGGAAAGGATGAGGGAGCTGGGACTTCTCAACCTGGAAAAGGCTCAGGGTGTTCTCAGTGAGGTGTATAAAGACCTGAAGAAAAGATTCAAAGAGAGTATAGCTAGAGTCCTTTTAGTGGCACGCACTCACAAGACCGGAGGCAATGGCCAGATACTAAAACACAGAAAGTTCCCTCTGAACATCAGGAAGAACTTCTGCTGTATGGCACGGGTTGCTCAGAGAGGTCTCTTCTTTGGAGATTTTGTGGGGTCTCCTCTTTGGAGATTTTCAAAATCTGTCTGGATATAGTCCTGCACAACCTACTGTTGGTGGCCTTGCTTGAGCAGAGGTGTTGGACCAGATCCAAAGGTCCCTTCCACCTTTAACTGTCCTGTGATTCTGTGACCTCTGCCAGCTGGTTGCAAGTAGCCAGAGTGCTGAGCAGGAGGGAGCATGGTACTCCTGGATGGACTGACTCTTACTGGACAGCTGAGCAGTTTCTTCCTTTTCTTCTTGTCTCCTCCAGGACTCAGAGGGTATTGACATCATGCTGGGAGTCTGTGCCAATGGCCTCCTCATCTACAGGGACCGACTGAGGATCAACCGTTTTGCCTGGCCCAAGATCCTCAAAATTTCCTACAAGAGGAGTAATTTCTACATCAAAATCCGCCCTGGTGAGGTGGGTGCCGTGGGTACAGCATGACCCAGGGTCACAGCAGGGTGCCTGCTGTGCCAGAGTGGGACCATGGTCCTCATCTGGCTTCATTCTTAGCCTCTAAGTCCCAAGGTAATGGCCTCAGCTGGCCAAGAGAGCACAGCTCCTGTGGTGAGGGAGGCTTTGAGCAAGTGTCTCCTCATTTGCACTCTTGCTCTCATTGCCTTTCATGTCTTTGGCCACAGCAGTTCAGAGATCTCAAAGCATATCATAATCCTTTTGCCATAAGCCAGACACTTGTGAGCCTATTGACATGGGGAGGTGTCCCAGGAATGGGGTTGCAAAATCATTTTTAAAACTTGTTTTCCATACTTAAAACACACGAAAAAAACCCTGAAACGTTAGGAGTTTTTTTCTTTTGTTTTGTATCAGTGCTTTCTGACTTTAATTTCATTCTCTTTCCCTTTACGTGTACTGATGGGAGAATTCATTTCTACCCATATTCTTCCCAGCAGACAGTGCATCTGAAATGGAGTGAGAGATTCCCAAAATAAGTGTTTTGGTGTTTTATTCTCAAAATAAAACACCAAAATAAGCCGTAAGGGTTTTCTGTTTCTTGAGGGAATTTCTCTTGCACTGAAAATGCGGGATTGAGGAAGGTGCTTAGGCCGAAATTGTAAGGGCATAATTCCACCAGCCTTTGGGGCTGGGCATGAGCCTTTCCAGCACTGGTTTGAAGAAGATGTTTTGTATGGCCATAGCTCCTGCCAGGGGAACCTGAAGGTCTTGGCATGTCAGGCCCCATCCCATCGTGTGCCTTTGGGCAGGATCTGCCTGTAACTGCATGTCTCTATCTCTCCCAAGTATGAGCAGTTTGAGAGCACCATTGGCTTCAAGCTGCCTAATCACCGTTCTGCCAAGCGTCTCTGGAAAGTCTGCATAGAGCATCACACCTTCTTCAGGTGAGGAGCCCTTTTCCAGGCCTTGGAGGCAGGCATGCTCCTGTCTCTGGCCCGTCCCACCGTGCTCACTTGGAGCAGGGGAGTGTGCTGGGTGCCTGCACTCTGCCTGAGAAAGAGCTGGCTGTCCTCTCACCTGCAGCAGGGGCTATCCATCCCATGCCTCGTGCCCCTTGCATTGAGCCACTCTGCCTTTTGTGTGCAGGGAAGGAAGAGTTCTGCTTCTCTCTCAGCCTCAGACCTGCTGCACCCCAATTATGTTAGGCATGGGTTTGTCTTTCCCATATACGAGGCCATATCTGCTCCATTGGCTCCACCACACACCACTGCCAAGAACCACTTGCTGGTTCAGCCCTGAACTTCCTGTAATGCTGAATTCCTTCTGTCTCTTCTTTAGCCCTGCACCGATGCCATCCCAACTCCTTCACTGTGATCTCAGCTCTGCTCTGCACACTGGTGTCTGGGGCCGGTGCCGGGGGCACAGCTGGGACTCACTGACCACCTCATCTCTCTGTCCCCAGGCTGGTATCTCCAGAGCCGCCCCCGAAGGGCTTCTTGGTGATGGGCTCTAAGTTCCGCTACAGCGGGAGGACGCAGGCACAGACACGGCAGGCCAGCGCCCTCATTGACCGCCCAGCGCCCTTCTTCGAGCGTTCCTCCAGCAAACGGTACACCATGTCTCGCAGCCTTGATGGAGGTATGCCCCAAACAGGGCAGGGGGAGTGAGATCGGTCCGCTGGTGGGAACAAGAAGGCCGCTTTGGAGGGGTGGGCAGCTAGGGTTACTTCCAGAGGCTCTCTCTACCCAGATCTCCCTGGCAGAGGGTCTTTCTGCCCCCCAAGTGGTACCTCAGACTGTGTGAGCAGCGGGGACACTGGTATGGCTGGCTACGGCTGCCTGGTCACAGGGCAGATATGAAGGCCTGGGTGGTGCAAGGAGTGATAAAGTACTAAGCTTTGGGTCATCATCACCATCAAGAATCCCTTCCCTGCTGCAGGTCCTTTTGGGGCTCCACTGCCACTGACTCTAAGCCAGACTGGGGCAGGGGGTAGAGGGCTGGGGTAGACAGGGCCAGGGGTGGTGGCTCACGGCTCGTGACCTGACTCTTTCTGCATGCACAGAGTTCTCACGCCCAGCCTCCGTCAGTGAGAACCACGATGCCGGAGCAGAGGGTGAAAAACAGGAGGAGGATGGTGAGTTTGGCAGCGGGAGACGATCTGAGACAGAGGATGAGGAGGTGACTACCCCGACGAAGATCAAGGAGCTGAAGGTACAGACCTCATGGGCAGCAGACCATGGAGGTGGATGGGTGGGCTGGCTCATAACCAGAGCAGATAAGCAGGGGGATGGGACACAGGCATCAGGGCTCTGTCTTCCTCTCTTGGGGCTGGGCTGCAGGTGGGAAGGACTGCACTGGGGAACGGTCATCTGAAACCCCTTCTCCATGAGACAAGCCCCAGTTCTTGCTATGACCCATCTAGTCTGGGGACATGGTTCTAGGCCTCACCAGTGGGCATGGAGCCATCATGCCCTACCCAGAAGCAGCTACAATTTTCCCAGCACCCTCCAGGTTGCCTCATGGTTGGTCACCAGACAGGGCTGGCTGTGGGACAGCCTCACTCTGACGTGCAGGACCAGGAAGGGCCAAGTGTGCCAACAGTCACCACCATGCAAGCAAAGAGATCCTTGGCTGCTGGGAGCATACTGGGCCCCTGTTCCATTGGTGCCCATAGCTACATGCCCATACCCGCACCCTGCCAGTGTGCAGCCGTGCCCCTCTGCTCTCTGCCCACTCCTGGACTGGCTTGGGATGCACCCTAGTCCAATTCAGCCCTGCACTGAGCAGAGGATTCAGTCCTTTTGTGCTGCTACCAGTCCTGGCTGTGGGCAGGGGTCTGTGTACGTGCCCAAATTCAACTGAATTGTGATGCTTATGAGAATTTCCCTCGACTGACTCTGCTGGTTACTTTTAACCCTCTCTTTGCTGCCAGCCGGAGCACGAAACAACCCCCAGGCACAAGCAGGAGGTATTCTCTCTCTGGAGTATCAGTTCTCATCGGTGCATCATATTGTCCATTCTTTTCAATGCACCACTGTGTGTCACCCTATTTACTGGAATACAAGATGCACTGAGGTGGGGAGTTTGACCTGCTAGAGACTCCCAGTGAGCAGACAGCTGGGGATCTGCCCCAGAGCACACACAGCATCTTCTATCCCACTAAGTAAGGTAGTCCTAACTGTATGTGTGAGCAAGAGCCCTCCCAAGGCACATCGGCCAGGCCGCTATGCCGGGTCCTTGGCCCGTTGGGAACACCTGGCTTCTGCTCGTGTTACTGACTCCTCCATATCCTCTCCTCATGTTTTCTCTTTGTCCAACCCCGTGGCCTTAATCCTCCTGCTGAAGGGACAGACGTGGTGCAAGCTGGCCCTATCGCTTCCACCTCCCTGTGAGATCCTGTGCCCTGGCTTGCTCTCTGCTTTTGCATTTCCTGGCCTGGGGACTGCATCATGTGCCCTGCTTTCATGAAGCTCCTTGCTGCCTTTCTGCCCTGCCAGAAGCAAATGAGTCCCTGAGCCCATCAGGGGCACACCCTGACACCCAGCCCAGTGGAGTGCCATGGAGCAGCTCCCCATCTGAGTGTGGCTAGCCTGGCCAGGGTGTGTTTTCACAGGTGGGAGAGAGTCTGTGCTCTCCTCTTGCACAAATTGCCCGTGTCTGCAGTGCCTCCTTCCCCTCAGAAATGTCCAGCAGAGATCTCCTCAGCCTGAGTCTGCTGTTATATCCCAGCCTTAAGTTCAGAGCTGTGCTCTGAAGGTTTCCCCCTCCACTCACACTGGGGTTTGGGTCATCACGGGACCAGTCAGCAGAGGCCAAGGAAGCGCTAGCACCTTCAGCTGTGTGGCCGTGAGCCAGGGCTTGCTGTGCTTCAAGCACACAGCCATTGCCATCCTGCTCAGCACAGCAGGGCAAAACCTACTGGTGCAGCAGGCTGGCATCTTGCCCCGCAGCCCCGTGCTGAGCACAGTCCCTCCACTGTCTGCCTCATTGCTTACTCCTGCTGCATGTGCATGTGCTGCTCCTGCAGCCCCGTGCGCCTGGCACTACCCTGAGCCTGTAGAGGTGGGCAAACTGTGAAGCACATGCGGATGGATCAGGGAGCTTTAAATAAATTCTGCTGAGTCTTCAGGATCTGGAAATTTATCTGGGCTTTCCGTATGAGACTCCTTTGTGTCTCTGGGATTTTGCTGAGGAGAAGTATGGGAGAGGGTAGATAATTCAGTTGACTCGTTTCGAACCTCAAACCAGGTTTGAGTTTGAAGTGAAAGCCAGGTTCTTGTTCTGAGTTAGTTTGCCCACCTCTGTGGCAGAACAAAAGGAGCCATCCTGGTGCCTGTAACATCAACAAAGGATGCTTTAACACCTAAACCTCACCATGCACTTGAATTCTCTGAGCTGTCCTCTTTCTACAGCAGGCCAGACCCAACCCCCACCCCAGACTGCTGCTGGGCTCAAGCTAGTCCATGCTGTTGCAGGCTTGGATCCATGTTGGTCGTCCTTGACCTTTGTTGGTAGCCTTTGACCTCTTGCCCATTGGCAGAAACCCACTTTGAAGGCACTCCATTAGAAATGCCAGTGGGTGACTCCTGAAAGCTCTTGCTCAGATGATGGTTTCCTGCCCTCCTGGGACAGAGGCTCTTGGTCCCTTTGTGCCTTGCACGTGGGAGCAGCAGAGTTTTGGTTACTGATATTTCTTGTGCTGGTCCCCAAGGAGACCCCTTTCTCTTCCCCCAGATGGTTTATCTCATCCTCACAAGGCCATGCTGGAGATGCCCCAGGGTCATGTTGTGCCCTTCACTGAGGAAAGCTCACTGTGGATGTTCTGCCACTCCCTGCCTTATTGTTGCTCCCTACAATGGTCTTAGTGAGAACTGCAGCCCAGGGTGCTCAGATATGCTTTTCATTTGGCTCCTCAGACCCTAAATTCAACCCCAGTATAAAGCTGACTCGCTCCAGTGTCTCTGCTTGCCTTTTTGGCCTTGGCTAGTGCTTTAATCATTGTTACATTCCTTTCTCCTTCCCCAAGTTTTTAGACAAACCAGAAGATGTTTTGCTAAAGCATCAGGCCAGCATCAATGAGCTGAAACGGACCCTGAAGGAGCCCAACAGCAAGCTGGTTCACAGGGACCGGGACAGGAGGCTGCCTTCCTCACCAGCCTCTTCCTCACCCAAGCATGAGGAGGAGACACCGAAGGGAACCCCAGAAAAGGCCAGCGAGGTTTGTTCTGCTGCTGTGTTACGGAGGGGATCAGACTGTTCACAGGCAGGTGTTCATCAGTTGGTGGGCTCCTGGTCTCTGTCTCCACTGTAGCCCTGAGGGAAGCTTGGTGGGGCCCTTGGTCAGGTTATTGTCTCTAAGTTTGTTAATGAGCTAACTGTTTTCATGCTGCTGGTAGTGAGCTCCCCTTGTGCCCAGGCACCGCATGGTTTCAAACGTATCCTTTACTGGGGGCTGTGAGTTGGGCTGAGGCTTTGTTAGCCCATGAGATGGGGCCTTCTTCACCCCTTACCCTATCAGAGCTCCTGCTTGTCAGCACCTGTTACAGGTCTATTCCAAGGGGTGTTCCCATGAGTGTGGGACTGGTCTCCTGTGCTTAAGTGCTCCATGTTGCGCTCAGTTGCCAAGACCTGGTTGATGGGAGCAGGAGGAGGATTAGCAGTGCTACTGTGGGATCCTGCACTCATGTCCTTTCCTCCTGGCATTTTATCTTCTGGCTTTGCAGTGGGACTTCTGCCCTGAATGAGAATGGAAAGTGCCCGGGTCCCAGAGTGGGAGGGCTGGGCTGTGCAGACCCCTCTCACTGCTAGAGGGGAGTGGATGCGCTGCAGCTGAGTGCTGTGTGGGGTTGGGCTATCTGGCTCAACTCAGGCAGCACATAGTGTGGGCATCCGTGGGCTGTGAGCACCAGACACTCTCTGCTTGTTCTCCAAACATTGGCATTCTCTTCTCCATGAGAGCTGCGCAGCCCACACAAACAATGCGCATGGTGCCCCCTGTGCCACAGCTCTGTCCTGAGATGGTCTCACTGAGAAAATGAGGACACAGCACTGCACTGCAAGGAGGTGCCTACACAAGTGGGGATGCGGGGCTGGCTGTGTTGGGGTTGCAGAGCATCCCAGGCAGAGGCGATCTGAGAGAGCTCACAAGCCCTCATCAAAGCACTAAGATGGCAAGAGGAAGAAAGGTTTCCGCACTATATATGTTTTACAAGCAGATATATATATGTGCAAAGAAAGACCTAAATGGAGCATCTAGAGTTGTCATAGCTGTGATCTCTGTTCATCCATCCATCCCTTCGTTCTATCCTTCCTTTTCATGTGCTCTCTGTCTGTTTGTCTCTCTCTCTCTCTCTCTTTCCCCATGGGTGCTGGGGTTTCCGTGTTGACACAGAGGATGGAAGAGGACACCCTAGACGATTTTGCATCTGAGCATGGAGCTTCCCTAAGCATGGAGTCTTTCACGCAGAAAAGCCTTGTCTCTTCTCCTGAGGTTATCACCATCCCTTTTCTTTTCTTTTCTTTTCTTTTCCTTTCTTTTCTTTTCCTTTCTTTTCTTTTCTTTTCTTTTCTTTTCTTTTCTTTTCTTTTCTTTTCTTTTCTTTTCTTTTCTTTTCTTTTCTTTTCTTTTCTTTTCTTTTCTTTTCTTTTCTTTTCTTTTCTTTTCTTTTCTTTTCTTTTCTTTTCTTTTCTTTTCTTTTCTTTTCTTTTCTTTTCTTTTCTTTTCTTTTCTTTTCTTTTCTTTTCTTTTCTTTTCTTTTCTCACCCTTCATTCTCACAGTTTGCCCTCCCCATGGTGCCTCTCAGAGGCTCTCCAAGCAGAGCTCAAGATGTTTGCTGGCACTTCTGGGTGGGACCAGGACTGGGTCAAGGCTGTTGGTGAAATCTGCTCCTGTGCCTGCTGTGTTTTGGATCTGTGACAGGGTCCTGGGAGACCTGCTGGTGAAGCCCTGATGGTCAGTGGTGGTAGGGCATCCCCCAGGGTTGGCTCTGCTCTGCATGAGAGTCTGTGCTGGAGCTGGTACCAGGAGTCCCAGGAGGTACAGCTGGGGCCCTTGGCACTGTTGCTCTGCAAACATCTCCTCCAGGTGCAAGACGCCCAGCTACAAATAGTCTTTAGCAGTCTCTTATGTTTTCCTCTCCCTTCAGCTGCAGCTACAGTTGCTTAGGCCCAGGTGCCTTGAATTAGGACATCTCTGGATACATCTAAAATATCAGACTTTTGCCTGTACAAAGCAGCATCACCCTACTTTGAAGTCCTTATTTCTGTGAGTCCTTTCAGCACTGCTTGTATACAGAGTTTTATCTCACATGATAGCAGTTCTTTCCTGAGACAGCTGAAATTGGATAATACTGAGTAGAAGAAAACTAGTCTCAGAAACTTGGCTCTGATGCAGTTGGATCCAACCACAACAAATGTGGTGCGCAGCAGCACTGGAGTGCATGTCCTTCCTGAATGCATCCAGAAAAGGCAGCAGAGCAAGAGCAGCTTCAGTCTGGGGCAGGTGGATGGGGCCAGTGCAAGGCTGGCTCCACTCTGCCGCTGCCTCTCACTTCAGGGTGCAATGCCACTGTGTGAAGGATGATCGAGAGCCCTCCCTGTGGGCTGGAGACTGTGTCTGTGCAGGATGGACAGAAGTCAGATGCCGTCTCTGCTAGAGCAGAACCCTGCAGCCTTTGCACAGAAGTCGCAGTAGTGAGGTGGGCACGCAGCACTTAATGCATGGCTTCCTGTCTTCTGCCCTCAGGGTGCCAGGGCTGCACTGAAGTGTGGGCAGCCAGCTGGTCTCACCCGAGACTTCTCTCCACTGATGTATGGGATCTTGCCCACACATGACTGATGGTCTCTATGAGGAATTCAGAGTCCCTTGAGGGTGACTGCACAAAAATCAGCACATCTGCGAAGTTGGCATCGTGCTCAACTCAAAAGTCCCTTGGTGTCCTCAGAGTTGCTGAGGTTGGGTTATCTGTCACCCACTGCCTACACACAGCCACTTCTTCCCCCTCCCCATTTTTCTTGTCCTGCTGGAGGAAGGGTGCTGGATTAGAAGGTGAATGGAGTCCCGGCAGCTTTGGAGCAGCTTTGGAGACGGTGTGTCATGCTTATCTTGGTTCATTCATTCTTTCCTCCTTATTGTAAAGCTCATGTGTTCCTTTCTGGTGAGCCAGGACTCCCTGAGGGAGAGGAAAAAAAAAAAAAAAAAAAAAGGCAAGTACATCAAATAGTGCTAAAGGAAAAAGCCACCTGTCTGCCCTGGGCTCCTCGAAGGTTGAGTTTTGCCTGCAGCTATCAGGTGTAGAAGGCTGTCTGCTCTGTCTTGTTTCATTTCTTTCCTATCTCCCAGTTTGTCCTCTCTTGTAACGTGCAGGCCACTGTGTTCCTAGCTGTTCCTGTTCTCTGGAGGGAGTGTGTTAGCATAGATGAAGAAGAAGATTTGAGAGTAAATTATCCCTTGGGGATGTCCAGGTTGCTCTATTATCAGACCAGCATCATCACTTCTTAGGCTCAGCTTCTACCTTGGCACACTGACCTGCCAAGTTCTCTGCTCTCCTGGAGGACGTGCCCACCCATCCACTTATTTGCTCTGAGCATGCCCAAGAGTCCTCAAGTTCTGGAGACCCAAGAGCTGCCCAGAGCTGTGGAACCAGGGCTGTGGCCAGAGCTGGCTTTGAGCCATCTGAAGCAGAGAGTTCAAAGCATACCACAGAGCAATCACTGTTTCCCTGGAATGGGTCATACTCATCCCAACAAATTTGATAAGGGAGCAGGTTTGGAGATTAATCCAGAGATTTGCAGTTTTTCCTTACTGGTATGACGTACTGCTGTGCATCAACACTCTGTTTCAGGCTTCAGAAGACTTAAGGATCTTTGATATCTACTTGTGTTAGAGCCTTAACTCAGAGCAGGAGCCTGATCAAGCTCATCATCTCTGTCCGGAGAAAGTCCCCTCTGAAGGACTGTGATTTTCAGCCAGAGTAAGGGAAGAAGACTGAAGAGATATGTACCTGTGCTCATACCTTATCCATTGATGTCTTGGTTGCAAAAAAATAAAATAAAATAAAATAAAAAAAAAGGGGGGGTTGAGCAGTGAGGCTTCAGTACAGCAGTAGAAGAGAAGCTTCTGTACCCTCAGGGAAGTAAGCAGTCCTCTGGCTTACTCACCCGTGAGCATTGCTAGTGTTGAGAAACTGATGTGGGCATCCTGGCAGGACAGAGGCATCCATTGAGGTAATGGTAGTGTTGCTCCAGGGGTCAAACTCACCCATTAAACACTCAGCTCCTGGGGAGTCACTGACCACCTGTGCTGCATCTAAAAAGGAATAAAATCGTCATGAGAAGCCCACTGAGAGACACAGGTGTAGAGGAGAGGACCTGGAGAGCAGACAGTGTTTTGGAAAAGAAGTTACACTCAGGAGTGATACCAGAGAGGCTTCTGCAAGCGTTAGTGTGGGAAGCTGACAGAGGATGGGTCCCCTGAGGGCTCAGCCTCCTTTGGTGCTTCTGTGCAGGGCTGCTGGCTATGGCAGGAGGGAACCCACCCAGGGCATGCAGCCAGCAGAGCTGGCACAGGATCTCTGTGAAGGTGCCTGCCGCGGTGGGTACGTGTGGCCTCAAGTGAGACAGAGTTGCAGGCTGGGTGCTGTGTTTGCTCACAGTGCTGTGGGGCTTCCAGCTGAGGCACAGCTCCTGACAGTGCTCATGGCAGATTTTCACGGCTGCTGTGCAATAGCTATATGCTCTTAGCGCAGCCTGGGAGAGAACGGAGCCAGTGTGAGGCCCATTGATGGCCTGGGTGGTGCTGGAGCCACAACCTAAAGATGCAGGAGCCACAGGCCTTTCTTTGGCACCAGATTTAAACTGTGAGAGTTAGGAAATTATTTACTGTGAGGGCAGTGAGGCACTGGAACAGGCTGCCCTGAGGCTGTGTATTATTCCATCACTGGCAGTATTCAAGGCCAGCTTGGATGGGGCTTTGGGCAATCTGATCTAGTGAAAGCTGCGCCTACCCATGGCAGCAGGTTGGAACTAAGGGGTCCCTAATGTCCTTTCCAACTCGAATCACTTAATGATTCAGGGATTTCTTATTCCTCTCCCTGTGGAAGCCTTTTCATTACCAATTGTTTATCCTCCCTTCTTTCTCTCCTCTAATCTTGTCTTACCTTTTCTGTCTCTGCTCCCCTCTGCCCTTTGTTTCTCCTTGCTCATTATCAGTTATGTTTCCACTTCAGCTGCAAGACTCCAAACATTCAACCTGACACCCTTGTATAGGGCACTGGCAGTCCAGCTCTCCTTGGCACAGCTTACTTTTCCTACTTTGGGCAGGGAGAGCACAGCCAGCTGCACTCCCCTCGGGCTGCTGCACACAGCGATGATGCAGGAGGCCAGTCTCTCTCACTGCACAGAAGCAATGCTGGCTCTGTCCTGCAGGCCTGTGCCTTGGGCATCCCATGCTGTGGACTGAGCCAGCCTAAGATAGCCACAGGAGCCCTGTGGTGAGCTCTGCTGTACTGTACTGTGCCTGCAGCTCTGCCCCTCATGTGTGTGCCATGTACCCTAGAATGGCTGGGGAGGCTGCTGGGTTTCCTCATCAGTATAAATGCTCATTGCTGTTTTCCTCCTGCTCTGTTATTCTGGGTTATTTTCAACCTTCTGTTCTAGAAGTGGCTGAATTTTAACAGTGCTTTGTCCTTGGAGCCTGTGCTGTCTTCAGGTATCTTGCAGGACCAGCGCATACCGAGTGTGTGTAGAAACAGAGATCTAGCATCCTCCCTTGCACAGCAGCACAAGTGCATTTTGTTGTATCACGTACTCACTGTTAAGGTGGCTTCTCTTCTTGCTCATGCGACTTCTTGCTCAGTCTGATGCAGTATTAGGGCATGTGGATGAAAGTGAAAGTAAAGCTAGTCAAATAAAGACCACTGTTTACAATAAAATCTCACCCTTTGCTATCACAGAAACTGCTAGAGCCAGTATTAAAATGGGGAGTCAAAGTTTGATTCAATTCACTGTGCTCTCTTGCCTCATAGAGAGTGTCCTAACAGCTCTCCATTTATTGCTTCCACTTCTTTATTTCCAAAAAAGTCACAGATTTTGCAGACATGTCAGTAGATCATCGCCCAGAACAGAACGCGGTCCCAGGCCCTGTAGAGGATAGAGGAACACCATCATCTTCATGACACCAGCCCCTTTTTTTTTCAGTCCTTTCCTTTCATTAGTGAGTTGCCAGGCTCTTCGTATAGAGACTGCCTCAACCCTTGCATGTATAATAATAGTAATTGACCATCTAAGGCAGGTCAGCTGTCTGTGACTCATGAAATCAATCACCAGCTGTTAGGTAAAGTATGTTTGATGCTAACTCTTCTTGCTCCAATTGCAATGCAGGGCTCGGAGCATTGGGTATTTATAGAGAGAGAAACCACTAGGCTGGAAGAGGTAGCTCTAAAGAAAGCTCTGAGAGTCAAGAAAGAAGAAGGACGTGCAGGTACTTCAGAGGTGAAAATGGGTGTGAGCATGTCGAAAGTGGAGATGGCAGTAGGGAAAGCCAAGGAAGTGGCAGGCCAGGAAGAACCAGCAGATGCACATCTGGATACCTGGAAGAGAGCAAAAATGATTGCCAGTCCTGAAGATTTTGAGTCTGTCTGGGAGGATGAGACCTGTGAGAAGGAAACCGGGGAGGAGCCCAGCACTGAGGCAAAGTGCCTGACATGTGAGAGAGCAGAGGAGGAGTCCAAAGAGAGGGTTGAGGGGGTAACCAGGAGTGAACTGGGTCTGTCCAGGCCACATCAGGAGCATGAAGAGAGACAAAGGGCTGAGGCTTTGGTGCTAGGCCCTGTCCATGGGGAAAGCAAGATGGGCTCTGAGGAGCACGTTTCTGCAGCCTTTAGGAAGCAGGATGCCAGAGCACCAACTGCAATCACAGAGGTCATTAAAATTAAAGTGAAATCCGGTGACGACAACACAGAGACTTCTGCTACACAGAGGATCATCTATTTAGGAGATCTGGAGGGAGAGGAGGACAATAAAACACATCTGCTCACAGAGGCAGGAGGACAGCTTGGCTCAGCAGTGAAGCAAGAAACCATGGTGAATAGGGCAGGGGAAGGACCAAGGCCCATGGCATGTCCGGGAGAAAGGTCCCAGTGCAATTCCTCAGCGTACACACAGCAGGAAGCAGTGTCAGAAAAACCTTCTGTAGTGCCAGACCAGCCTGAGACAGACTGTGATGAGACAAGCCCTGCAAGACAGCCAAGACAGCCTCCCTCAGAGCAGGAGGAAGGTTTTACAGTGCAACAAGAGCAAGCATCAGTGAGTCTGACCAGCTGCAAAACACTGGAGGGAGATGAAACCATGTTATTTTCCCAAGAGGTGGGGTCAGATGAGAAGGATCTGCAAAAGTCAGTAAGAGGATTGAAGCCATGCACTCTCAAGAGGGCTGAGGACCCCAGACAAAGCCCAGGACAGAATCCAATTGCAGGAGAGCAGTGGGGCTTGGATGTCTCCACAGAAGAGTGGGGGCTCTCAGAAAGAAGCCTACCTGATGGGGAGGAGGAGAAAAGCTTCACAATGGTTCTACAGATGGAAGAGATAGAGACAAAATTATCCCCATCAGCTGTGCCTCAGCAGAGCTCCCCTCATGCCACTGTGGGGCCGGAGGAGAATGAACCCAGCATTCCCACCCCTGGCACTCCTCCTCAGCAAATGAGCCCTGCAGAGCCAGCCCAGGAAATGAAACCCGAGGGCAAAGACCTGTCCCAGAGTGCCAGCCTTGTAAGAGATGTGGGCACACCTGAGGATATGAACCCCTCAACAGAGGTGGCATGCAAGGAGGCAAGCCCTGCAGTAGGTAAAGAAGCACTTGAGGACATGAGCCCTGTAACAGAGGTGGTAATACCCAGGGATGTGAGTCCTGAATCTATAGAAAAAAAACATGACATGCACTTTGCTACAAGGAAAACATACCAAGATGCAAATCCTATTGCAAGAGGACCACACCATAGCAAAGGCAGTGCAGTGGAGACAATCCTGCTCAGAGATCCCACCACAGGGGAAGTGGTCCAGAACTCAGATCATTCTGCTGCAAAGGGAACCCTGAGAGCTGCAGAAGAGGCACTCCAGCAGGAACAGCTTGTGATGAAAGGGCTCTCCCAGAACATAGGGCCCAAATTGGGAAAGCTGATGGGAGGGGAAGGCACGGAACAGCTGCTTTCCAAGGCAGAAGATCGAGAACAAAAGGCTGAGATCATAATAGAACACCTGCCCCAAAAGGGTCCTAAGTCTGGAGGGCTACTCCCTCCAGATACCAAAGCACAAGAGCCAGCCTGTGACTTGGAGTTTAATGCAGGACAAGCTCTGCAAGGCAGGAGCTCTATGGCAGGAGAAACTGCTAGAGACCTTGCTCTGGAGCAGCCACTGCAGTCTCCAGGAGATGCTGATGTCTTGCATTCCCACTCTCCTATAACAGGTTTGTGTCAAGGCAACAAGTTGTACCAGCTCTCAACCTTTATGTATGAAGATGGGGAAGAGGTGCAAGTGAGCAGTGGAATACAGAAGAGAGAGTCTGAACCACTGATGTGTATTGCTGCAACTGAAGCTGTGTGCCAGGAGCACAGAGGTGTCACTGAAGCCCCACTCCTGGGTAGCTGGCAGGACAGTGAGAGCTACGAGAAAACCTCAGTGGCATCTAAGATTAAGATGTTTGAGCAAAGTGAAGCTGAACAAAGGACAGCCCAGGAAGGACGAGAGCAAGCTGGTCCAGGAGGCTCCTCCCAGCTCCTGTCTCTGAAGGAAGATGTTTCTGTTGATCTGGAGCATGAAGGAGAAGGCAGTGCTGACCTGGCTTCCTCTGACTCCGGCTGTGAACTCACACTGGCAGAAGCCGTGGTAACTCTTCCAATGAACTGTCCGGATGGAAAGTTCATGCGCATGTTGTGTGGCTCTTTATTTACCATGTTCAGTGGCACCTCACACATCCATTGACTGAGAACAGTTGCTTTGCATCCCCTGTCCTTTTATGTATATGTGTGTGTGATCAGGCTTATTTGCTGAATGCAGACCCGCTGGCCAGTTGGTTCATTGGCTTTTGTTTTGTGACACCTCCCCTCCGCCCAACATTTTGGCTACTTCAAGAATGCCACCCAAGCTTCATGTCCAGGAACAAGAAAGGGAGATGGGGGGTGGCTTAAGAAGCTGTGAGTCCATCACAAATGCGCACACACTGAGCAGCAGTGCCCACGCTTCCAGCTTCACCCTTGCATTTCTTACGTTGGTATCCCTTCTTGCTTAGCTCGCCAGCCTTACCCATCCTACCCTGTCTTTGGCAAGCTGGTGGCTGGATGATGAAATAGTTTACTTTGCTCTTGTAAGCACTAGATCAGATTCTTTAGAGTTAATTTCTTAAAACTAACCATTTTCTCTAATCCAGAGCAAATCTCAGGAACCAAGTGGGGAAGAAAAGGATTTATCTGACCCGTCATTAAAATCCACCCTGAAAGAAGAGAATTTAAAGACTGCTGTTCCAGTGGTCTTAAAGGTCTCAGTGCTGTTCTACTAACTGCTTCTTGCCATAGTGTGATAGCTCACCTTAAGCAGCTGAGGACTATTTGCTTCCAGCTCCTCTCCCCATTGTAGAGCTGTTATGAATGTATTTGTACACGCACACAAGTGTACGCAGGCGTGTTTCTCTTGAGTTTGTTTGTCACCCTGTTTCTCATACCTCTCAACCTCCCAGCACCGCAAACAAAAGGTGCCTGTGCTGTCAGAGTCAGGGGATGGCTCTAGCTGCAAATGCTTGGACTGTAGCCTGGGAGATGGGCTTCCTCTGTTGCATCAGCCAGCTTAGAGCTAATTCTAAAGCTAACAAGGAGCTGATCTCCTAAAGAGAATCAAAAGCAAGTAAATGCATGGGTCTCGATTTCCTATCACTTCATAGCAAAATGGCGAAGGGAATGCACCCTCTGATGGCAGAGTTGAGAGATATGTCCACGTCTGGGGAGGAGCTAGTGGAGAGATGTCTTCCCTTGGCTCTGATCGTGCTGTCAATTACACTGACTGAACACACAGTCTGCATCCCTAGGAGCCAGCCCTGGTTGCACGAGTCCTTTGGAGGGCACTGGGAAGTGTGGGGGGGTGTGATGTGCCTGGCTCTCCTCGGGGTACTGCCCCGCCAGCCACACGTGATGCTCCACTTGGGCTGAGCTCAGTGCAATTGGCACGCTCCTTCGCTTCTCCACCAACCTACCTGGCTGATGGGACACTTTTCTCATGCTCAGTTTTTCTGACATATGATAGCATCGGCGTCTGAGCTGTTTCTGAATGTCTATTAACAGAACTGTTGTTTTGCATACATCTGCTTTCACCAGGTGCAGTGATGTGCCTCTAAGCTGGCCGAGCTTTTCTGTGTGACTGACCCTTTTTTTCAGTGATTAATTACCAGTAGGCTTTTGGCAAAACTGGATTGAATAATCCTTCTCCCCAAACCCCTGCAAAGTTGCTGCTGTCAGAAAGGTTTCGGTTTCTGTGCTTGAGTTGTGTTTGACTCTACTCTGTGACGTTTGCTGCTGCCTTTTCTCTTCTTCCTCCCCTCTCCTCCATCGGCACAGCCAGTGCTGCCGTGCCGTGCAGCGCTCAGTCTCCGTCTCTCTCCTCCGTTGTGTCTCATTCAGAGAGCAGGCTTAAGGGAGGGCACCGAGGAGAAAGCTAAGCCACCTCGGCACAGGGCTCCCGAGAGCGACACTGGCGATGAGGAACAGGACCAGGAGAAGGACTCAGTGTTTCTGAAGGACAACCACCTGGCCATCGAGCGCAAGTGCTCCAGCATCACGGTCAGTTCAACCTCCAGCTTGGAAGCAGAGGTGGACTTCACAGTGATCGGTGACTTCCATGGGACTGCCTTTGAGGACATCTCCCGGAGCCTGCCTGAGCTAGATAAAGACAAGAGTGAGATGGAAGATGAAGGCCTGGTTTCCTTCCAGCATACTTTCAAAGTAGTTCCTGGATTGGAAGAGGATGGCAAAGCCAGGGAGAAGGTTGCCCAGCCCAGCCCAGCCATCTCCCAGCTAGAGGTACACAGGGAAGCTGTTCCTCCAACGTTGTCTTGGTGCTACCGTCTCTCCATGTTCTCTGTACTGGTGCCTGGCATTGCCTCATTGGTGTGCAGTCCCACGTCAGTTTGGAAGAGCATGCTAGCTTTCATACAGCCCTGGGTTTCTGTCCAATGTAATTGTTCTACTGTCATGCATGCTGTTGTCTGTCTTGCATGGTTCACTCAGTTTGGACAGGTGCATGGCACTGTCTTGTGTTTTGTGACTCTGATAACCAGAAAAGTCATCTTCACCTCTTCATGTGCTGTGTCTGGCTGCCTGCCCTGCCCCTTGCGTCACTGCGGCACATCAGAAGCTGGAAGGGTGTGTTCTGTGTTATAACCACTGGCCCTGTCCCTGTGTTTTGCATGAAATTTGAGCGTGAAGAGAAATGTGCTGCTAACTAACCTGTTTGGTAGTGCCTGGAGAGATTGACAAAGTAGCCTGCCGGAGCAGCCCCAAATGTCGTGGAGTGTTTATCAGCAGGGCTGAGGAAACTGCATGTGGCATAGAAGAAAACTGCAAGCAGAAGTGGAACATGTGCCTCTGAGAGAGGACAGTAGGGCCAACCCCACCACAGACAAAATTATCATGGCCTCTGGTGCAGGCACAGGGTTTCCTGTGTGCTTGGCTCAGTCAGCGCTGGCTGCAGCTCCCAGCCCCGGCCAGGTGGGTGCTCCTGGAGCCCCCTGCAGCATGAGTCCTGCCCTGGATCCAGGAGAAAGCTGCAGAAGAAAGTGAGTTTTCTCTGAGCCAGGCCTTTTGTGGGGCACTGTGCAGCGGGCTGCTGGGCCACAGGCTTGGCTTATAGCCTCCATGGTGCTGTGTGACCAGTGCTGGGCAGGGAGCACAGCTGACTCAGAAATGCTGTGAACTTGCTGGAAATTTGTCTCCATTCTCCAAGTTAGCCTCCATTTGACAGGCAGTTGTCACCACAGATGTCGGGGACTGATGCAGTACACAGAAATACCTTAGGTCATAAGAGAGCGAGGTCTGTTGGGTCTCACATGCTCTGAAAACCAGTTTATCAGTGGTATCTGTGAACCTATCAAAAAAAGATTCCATAAAAGCCTGGAGATGGAGTACTGGGTCTAATTTAGAATATGTCAGTCATACAGGGTGCTTTGTGTGGTAGCCATTAGCCTAGGATAGTGGCCTGGGCTCTGCTCATTGTTCAGGTGAGGCTCAGCATGACACTTGCAGGATATCACATGCAGGTGGCACTTGCAGAAGATTCCAGGGGAACTGCTCATGCAGGCTGATTCAGGAGGAGCACTGAAGTGTCCCCCATGCAGAGCTGTATCTCATTGCACCCTGGGAAGCAGGGTGGTTTGGAGCAGTGACTGACTTGCTGTGCTTTTTCTGCAGTCACCAGCCCCAAAAACGGATGCTTTAACAGTCAGCCTGGGGCCAGACACAAAGAAGACCGAAGATGCCTCCACTGCCCACCAGATCAGCACCCCAGAAGCAGCCCAGGTGATGCAGCTGCGTCCATCCTCTCATGGCCCCTTCTCCCAATGGTTCTGCAGAGCCTCGGTTTAGCAAAACCTGTCTGCATGCAGCATTACTGTGAGGGCCAGTGGCTGAGAGAGGCCACTGGGGTTCTATTCTTGCACTTGTCTTGCCAGAGTCCCCAAAACATCAAATCTTGTCCAAACATATCCTGCGTTTACTTTTTCATGCAGGCACCATTGAACCCAGCCTCTGCACCCGATTCCCTTACCCCATCTGCCATGTGACAGCACGTGGGGATGTCTCCAGAGGGCGATGGGCCCATGTGTGTCGCTTCTCTGGCAGCAAGGATGTAAAGCACCGTGCCTGCAGATGTCACCCCTTCACAGGCACTTCCAAACTCATTGGCCTTCCTTTGCCTCTGGCAGGTGGAAGGAGGCATGCCTGGCAGCGGAGATGTATCAGCCTCTGTTCGTGCTGTCACCACAGAGACCACACCAACAACCTCAGTAAGTGGGACTGGCCCCTCGGGGTCCCACACCTGCCACCATCCCACAGGGGCCTCCTACTGTGCGGAGGGAGACCAGAGTAGATCTGTTGCTGGGGTGGGGAGGGGACGTGAAGGCTCCAGGGTGACCTGCTCTGCTCACCTGTGTGTTGTGTTCAAGCTCACATGCCTGTGTGGTCTGATTTCAGGATAATGCCACCAAGCCTGGGAAAGGGGCTGGTCCTACGTCAGAGCTTTGCTCCGTGTCACCGGTGAGTGAGCACTGGAGGGAGTCAACCCTGGGCCGGGGCTGGCAGTCAGGGCTGGGCAAGATGGTCAGATCATCTCCCCACTGCAGAGAGAGCTTTTCTGTATGTCTGGGCTTGGGATAGTTATCGCCAGCCCTGGAATAGCAGGTACCCAGTTGGAATCTGCAGCACCTTCTTCCTTGCTGTGCTCTCTATTGTGCAAGGCAGAAACATGCTAACATGCTCACCTTTGTAGCTCTGTGCCAGTGGAGAGGTACTGGAAGTTTAGGGCCTGGGGACTAGCTGCTTCTCTCTGTCATGCAGATCAGCAGCAGCTCTGCTGGGAAGGAAGTGCTCACCAGCATATTCAGTGCCACTGCAGAAACCCTCTCTACTTCTACCACTACCCATGTTACCAAGGTAAGAGCATCTTCAAACAGGGCAGCTGGGGAGGGTCTGATGAAAGCCACTGGAATTTGAGGAAGGTGGATTCATGCTGTGCCTAGTACAGAGGAAGATGCCTTTCTCCTCCTTACAAGCTGAAAAAGTGTGTGCTGACCTGTTGGAAGTCATCAGCTGGCACAGTGCCCTGGCCCTGCTCAGCCTAGCTGTGCTACCCATCCCATTCAGCCAGATGCAACTGCAGGGGACTTCAGACAAGGATGGCCTGTGTTTGACAGGCATCAGGTGCTCATCACCTGCATACCATCCACATGGACTGTGCCCGAGTGCCATGCCCACCTGTGTGCCTTGGTATATTGGGAAGGAAGGGAGTCATTAGGTAGAAAAGGAACTCAGTGTTTCTGAAGCTCTGTGCCCTGAAGGCATCAGCAGAGATGGAAGTGACTGTAGTAGACTGCCACCAGTATGTGCGCCACTCCCTTGTCCACGTAGCTGGTGTGTGTGAATCCAGACATACCTAGAGCCAGGGCCCAGATGCCCCCTGCCTAGAAATCCCACAGCACAGCTGCCAGGTAATTCACATCAGTGCCGGAGCACCTCACCTTATCTCAACTATGTCTGATTTATTACAGCTGGAGCAGCTTAAGTTGGGGGGGGGAAGGGGGGGGAATAGATGACAGAAAACTAAGGAGGGGTAGTTGCATCAGTGGATCTCGCCTATGGCCACTTCATTCCCAAATAAAGTACACATAAATGAAATAATCCAGCAAGAGATTTGAGCAAGCAAGAGAGGTGCTCAGTACCTGCTGCTGGCCCTTTTCCTTACACATCTCACATTCGTGCTCCTGCCCACTTCTGCCCTACCTGTGTCATGCTAGCTCTAACCATGCACTACATCAGGTTTAGTGGGACATACAGGAAATAATGCAAGGAGATCCTAAGATTATGTTGGCATTGTCTCTTCTCTGGTGGGCAGCTATGTCTTCCAGAAACAACTTGCTGGGTGCCATCTGTCTCACAGAATCACAGAATCACAGAATTGTAGGGGTTGGAAGGGACCTCCAGAGATCATCGAGTCCAACCCCCCTGCCAAAGCAGGTTCCCTACAGCAGGTCGCACAGGTAGGCATCCAGGCAGGTCTTGAACATCTGCAGAGAAGGAGACTCCACCACCTCCCTGGGCAGCCTGTTCCAGTGCTCCGTCACCTCACTGTAAAGAAGTTCTTGCGCATGTTTGTGCGGAACTTCCTATGCTGCAGTTTCCAGCCGTTTCCCCTTGTCCTGTCTCCACTCACCACTGAAAACAGTCTGGCCTCGCCATTCTGCCCCCCACACCTTAGATATTTATAGACCTGGATCAGGTCCCCTCTCAGTCTCCTTTTCTCAAGGCTGAACAGACCCAGATCACTCAGCCTTTCCTCATAGCAGAGATGCTCCAGGCCCTTCACCATCTTCGTGGCCCTCCGCTGGACTCTTTCCAAGAGATCCTTGTCTTTTTTGTACTGGGGAGCCCAGAACTGGACACAGTACTCCAGATGAGGTCTTACCAGGGCAGAGTAGAGGGGGAGGATCACCTCCTTCGACCTGCTGAACATGCTCTTTTTAATGCACCCCAGTAAGCCATTGGCCTTTTTGGCCTCCTCTCCCTCACATGCATAGGCAGCACTCATGGCTTATGAGTTTTATTATCTGTCCTGTGACCACATGCTGCAGGCAAGGCCTTGAATTAGGCTTTTTGCCCCAGAAACCTGTAGCCTGCAAGGTGTGGGGATGAGGCAGGTCCTGGGGGGTGCAAATGAGTGCTGTTTCTTCTTGTTGCACAGACTGTGAAAGGAGGATTTTCAGAGACCAGGATAGAGAAGCGCATAATTATCACGGGAGATGAAGACGTGGACCAGGACCAGGTAGGAGCAGTTGTCTGTGTCCCCAGGACCATGCGGTGGTGCTCACAGAAAACCCCAGTTCCATCTCAGAATGAGGGATGTCAGTCAGCATGCACTTGGCTTGTCAAATAGCAGGAATGTTTGGCTTTTATCAACCAAGAGCTCCCAGCCCAGCCCCCATCAGTACCTGCTGCAGAAATGAAGCAGCAGTAAAGATTGTATTTCAGCACAGAACCCAGCTATGAGCTCACCTTTTAATTTCCTTAAAATACATTTCCAGTTGCCTTTTCCCCGTTGAAATATTGTGAAGTGGCCCAGGTTCTCCCTTTCTTTCCTGCACAGTCTCACTCAGGGTTGATGCACTCCAGGAAACCTTGTTTTGCATCTTACCTCCTTGACAGAGGAACAAAAAGCGACAAACTTCTGTAATGAAATATCAGATATTGGTACAGATCTCTCAGGTTGCAGGGTCATTTTCCTGGGACCTAATCCTTTAGAATTTGTTGCTTGAAAACAAAATTGAAGCTCTAAAGTATTTCAAAATGATCTTGAGCAAGCTCTAAAGTAATTCTTAAATTTTTTAGAACTATAGTAATAAATATAAGAAAACTATCTTAGGGTTTTTGTTTGTTTGTTTGTTTGTTTGTTTTTGGTTTTTTTAGTAGAGTTTTTCTGCAGAGAATATCTGCTGTTCCTTTGCTTGGGTTTCAGTAGGGAGCTTGGGACATTGCATATCTCTACAGAAAGACAGCAAGTAAAGGGGGGAGCACATGGCCTCCCACTGCTGTATGAACTTGTGGTCAGTAGTGAGCTCCAGTCTTTTCTGCCAGGCCATTACATGTAGGTTGCATTTTGAATCTCTGCATCTGTGTCTGCTAGAATCCCATTCGACTCCAGCTGCTTTCTATCCACTGGCTGAGAGCAGTATTCATACCAAACTTCAGGAAAGTGGCAATGAATGCTTTCATCATTCTGGTTTCTAGGCACTGGCTTTAGCAATCAAAGAGGCAAAACTACAGCATCCTGACATGCTGGTAACCAAAGCTGTGGTATACAGAGAAACAGAACCTTTTCCAGAGGAAAGGGACAAGAAACCTCAGGTAGGTGGAGAAGTTATCAGGTGCAATTTATATTTGCTGTGTACAAGGTGTATGTAACTGTACAAGTGCCACAGCATGTCCCTTTCTCCATATGGTGTGGAAAAGACAGCGGAGTCCCTTGCAAAGGTTCTTCACTGGCCCAGTCCCCCATGTGACTGCACAGGCAGAGCATGCATTTCCACACCGCACGGGCTTTGCTCACGTTCCTACTCAAAACGGCCGGGGCACATTTCCACAGCTGGCCATGACTGATGTTTGGGACTGACTCCACCAACTGCATAGGAGTGGCAGCTCTTGGCCAGTGCTTCCAGTGTGACTGACTGCAGGCACGGCCATGTGGTTGTTGTTAGAAAGCCAGCACCACAGTCACCAAAAGCAGTGCTGCAGATGTCCTACTTGGCAAAGCAGTCAGAATCATTTGCATGTGAAGAGGAAGGACTTGCTTGTCCCCCTGTGCAGGGAGTGAGAAAAGTGATACCCATAATGAGAAGCTTGGCTGCAGGTTCTGCAAACCCATTCCCACCCAGGATTTGCACCTTCCCACACAGGCCTCAAAGCAGACACAGCTCTACACGTCCTCTTTTCCAGAGCAAAGCTGGCTTGAGGAGTCCTGCCCCACTCTTACCCCCTTACTCTGACCCCTTTGCTCCCCCATAAGAGATTGTCTCAGCTCTTCTGCAGCGGAGCTGTGGCACAGCCCAAAACGCTTTTGTATCAGAGCAGCTAAGAGGCAGAGGAGCATGCTGAAAAAGGGAAAGGAGGTTTGAAAGGCAGCTGCACTGCGTGTATGAGAAGCTCCTTAGCCTGCCAGACCGTAGGTGCATTTTGAGAGGCATCTTGGAAATGGATTTGGTGTTTATCTCCCTGAAGAGAGGTCCGTCTCTCTCTATGAAGATTTTGAAAGGCAACTTCTAAGCTTGGATAAGTAACTGGCTCTGTTGCACAATGGAAGGTCAGAGAGGCTACTGCATCTGTCTACTCTCACCTCCTTTAGCACAATATGAAGAGTCCAGATGTTTCTGTATTTCTTAGGGAGCCACCTGATTTTAAGTGATGGCTTAAATAAAAGAAGCCTTTAGCAGTGATCTGCTGGTATCTCCTCAAACACCAACATCAGCTCAGTGGACTGAGAGGTCCAGCTAATGGCCAGAGGTTCTGGTAAAGAAATACAAACTGTGGCCTGGAGAGTTTGCAAGTTTACTGTCCACTGCTCTCAACAAACAGGAACCCTGTTATAGTCAGAAGGTTACTGCACCCCGTGACCAGTCATTTCCATTTGCCTTGTACAGGAATCCTGACCAACATGTTCATGAAGTCAGCATCGGTATTTGGACCCGGAGGACAGTGAAGAAGGAGCCTTCATGCTGGATTTGTCAGCAAAACATAGACATCCTGGCTGCAATGTTCATGGCTAGAGACAAAAAGTTTTTAAAAAAGGAATAGCAAATATATATATATATACATACGTACATATATATATATATATATATAAAAACAGGAAACAAAACGCATCCTTGCACTGCTGCTATATGCTGGAAATGAATAGCAAGCAACACACCAACAAAAAAATACAACCCTCTTTGCAGAAAAAAAATTGAAGAATTTACTGGATTGGTGATAAAATAAGATTTAAAAATCATAATAACAACAATAATACAATAAGCCACCATCTTGCATGTTACATTAAAGGATACACAATCATGAGTTCATTTGTTGCACATTGAATGAAACAAAAACTGCTTTGCAACAAAGCAAGAAATAAGCAAACTGAAATCAGACAAACACAAGCAGAAGCAAAACCATTCCCCACTCTGGAAAGAAGAGAGAAAAACATTGAGTTTATTACTTTAGAGTTATTTTCCAATTTGGAAGTGTGGTTTCACCCTTCTCCTCGTTCCATGCTGGTTCTTTTGCATCTTTTGTGGTTCTGTTAACTCTTCCCCGTCTGTTCCTTATCTTCTTCTCTGTGCACTTGTCTAACCTCTTGTTCTCTGAAGGTATTTAAGGATGGAGTTCAATTCAAACAGAGCAAATGACATGTATATGGTTTTTCATTTATAAAAATGCAGCCTGTAGGGGTTTCATATGGATGTGCATTTAAGTTATGTATATTATTATATATAACAAGGGGGAGGGGGGAGGGGAAGAATACTGAAATAATCAACAGTGCTGGTAAATATGATGACATTTTTAAATTATTAACTATTTGACTGTGGTTGTTGTACTTCGAGGCTCTTAGATCACAATGGGACTCCTTGTCCTTCAAGAAGAGAACGGGGAAGGTATCAGCCACTGCTGTTTGGAGGGAGAAGGGGAGGGGGAGAGGTTGGAGCCATCCTGTTGACTGATCCACGTGGCAGCAAGAGCTCTGGGTTTGCTGTTTGGTATGGGTTGTTTGGAAGTGGTCTGTCAGTGGTGAGTTGGAAGGGCGCAGAAAGAGGCTCATGCTGCTCCTGCAGCCCTGGGTAGGGTCATCTCACTGGCCACCAACCAAAAGCATCAGAATCAGCTGGAAACAAGGTGACAGCTGCAGGGTTCATTGCTCCTGTCCGGCTCACTGAGCTGTGATGATAGTTGGGTTGTTTTGGATTGTTTCCAGTAATGGAGTTACTCGAGTTTTGTAGTAGGAAGGGTTGAAGGCAGAGCAGTTGTTTGACCCCATTCCTGCTGCCCTGGGTGTGATGGAAGGGCTGCCTGAGGCATGGCGGGTTGGTGATGGTGCTGGAGGACGATGGCAGTTCTTCCCCAGCCTTGCCTCCAGGTGCTGCCCAAAGGCATAGAGTGAGGAGGTCGCATCAATGAAGAGCATCCCAAGTGTACAAGGCTGGGCAGCAGAGCCCAGGTCCTGCACGTAAGGAGGCACTTGTCAAGGTGGTGTCAGTGATGCTGCCTGCCCCACAGCCTGACAGCTTGGCCTTTGGAGACAGGCCTCCTCTGTGGCTGCCTTTGGAAGGGGATAGCAAGGCTAAGCCCAGGGCCTTGCACACTGTGAACCAGGTGGTTAGGGTAGACTTGGAACCAAAACCAGAAAGGAAAGGAAATAAACAGGTTTCTTTTTTTTTTAATTATTTTAAATTCTATCTCCTGAAGAAACAAAAGGGGCCGCAATTCTGCACCATTTTGCCTTTAGTCTCCCACCCTTCACACAGACTGTGCCCAGAGACAGGTGTGGTTAACAAGTCCTGCCATGGATTTGAGGATGACAGTGAAAAGGAAGAGCCTGAGCCATTAGGGTGCTGTGGGCAGACCACACTCAGGTCTTCTGGTCTCTGGCAGCCTTGGTTTACCAGCTGCTTGTCATGATGTCCCCACGAAATCTGTTCTCCTTCAGGTTTATCAGTTTCCCCTGCAAGCATGGAAGACCTGAGCACAAGCTGCTTGGGCAGGGGACAACTGCTGGCTGATGCCAGTACTGTCACTTTCCTGAAGAGGTCGGTGGTGGTGGTGGCTCTCCCTCAGCTTCTGTTCGAGTGTGGTCACCTGCTTGTGACCTGCTGCTTTTAGAGATGAGACCCCCAAGCCAGAAAGAGTGAAGGCAGTTGCAAAGAGGCTGCTTTTCTCTTTGCTTTTTAAATGCACCCAAGCCAGCTGTCAGTAGCAGTTGCACTTTCAGAGACACCGGGTGGTAGAAGACTTGCTCTCAGTGCCTGCGCAGGGCATCCAGCCCTTCTCGCCTATTAGCAATGGCCCACACACTGCGCTCGTTGTTCTTTGGCATACCATGGCTCATACTCAGAGGAGCTCACGTGGCCTTCATACCCCTTACAGCCACCCACTGCTACTCTGAAGCTAAGATACCTGCTTTTGGCATCACCTTTTTGGCACAGTTATCAAAAGAAAGGTTACTGCTCAAACTAGTGGCCTTATACAGTTAGAGTTGACTTGACTACTCTAGAATGGACTCAGATGAGTTATGTTTGGAGTGAGTGGATCCCATTCTGTGGTTTCTGCAGCTTCTTTAAGGGTGACGATGTTTAAAAACTAAATTAGAAAAAAGCACCAACAAACAAATAGGATGAAACCAAACTGCTGAGCTGGGGCAGCTCAGCACCGCATGTTTTCTTCCAGAGGCCTTTCTGCTGAAAGCGGCGGGAGACATGAGTGCCTGTTTTTACCCAATCCCACAAATTTATTCCAAACCTGGCCTGCAATTGCATGAGTAATAATAACAGTAACAATAACAGCAATGTTTATATTTGAAAAGCACCTTACCAGCCAACTGCAGTGCTCTGTTGTTCCTTCACTAATTCCCCTTTTCCCTTTTTCTTCTTCTCCCCCCTCCAGTCATGCTCCTTTTCAGTGCTCGGTGGTGTATGCGTGTGTGCTCACTGTTCTTGTATTCAATAAAAGTGAAATAAATGTGTTTGAGGCTAAACCAGCTCTGTGACCTTTTCAGACTCTTTCCCACCAAAGAGAATGGGCAGACGGGGCGGGGGCTCCAGCCCGGGGCTGCATAGCAGGCTGTCCCCTGTAGGTGCTGTATGTAGCTGTTGGTTGGTGATGCTGCGTGGCTGCCTGCCATGGGGTGTAGGGTTATCCTTTGGGGTTGGAGGTTGCCATTCAGTGTCAGCGTTAAGTGGGTCTCCATTTTTGCATTCGGTTTCCAAGTTACCCTTTTAGGTTACGGTTGGGTGTTAAGGGTTACCTTTTGGGATATGTTTAAGGGCTACAGCTTTGGGTTAGTATTAAGGCCTAGGGGTTACCCTTTTGGGAGATGGTTGAAGATTACCCTTTTTGGTTAGAATTAAGGAGCATGGGTTAATATTTTGGGTTGTGGATACAGTTACCCTTTTGGGTTAGGGTTACGCGTTAAGGTTTCTCCTCTCGTGTTAGGATGAAGGCTCACCCATACAGGGTTAAGGCTAGCGGTTTGGGGGTTACCAGTTTGGATTAACAGTTACCCCTTATGTTAGGGTTAAGTATTTGAGTTATTGTTAAAGGTTACACTTTTGGTTCACGGCTAGGCGTTACGGAGCACCCTTTCGGGTTCCGGTTAAGGGTCACTCTTTCGCGTCGGTGTTTAATCGTTAAGGGTTACCCGTCGTTAAGAATTACTGCCACGGGGGGCGAGGGGCGACGCCTCTGGGGAGACCGGATGGGAACAGAGGCACGACCGTCAGGGCGGCGCGGCGAGCAGCTGGGCTCCTCGGTCCGGGGGAGCAGCGCAGCTCGGGGACGACGCGGAGGCGGAGCGAGAAGCGGCCCGGAACGGCCGTGCGCGGCGCAGGGGGCGGCCCGGCGCAGTGCGGAGCACGGCCCGCGCGTTTCCGGCCCTCTCCGTCCGCGGCCGCGCGCCGCCGCTCCCGCTGGTCATGGCGGGGCCGCGGGCCGACCCCGAGCTGGCCAAGCGCCTCTTCTTCGAGGGCGCCGCCGTCGTCGTCCTGGGCGTGCCCGAGGGCACCGAGTTCGGCATCGACTGCAACAGCTGGACCGCGGGCCCCCGCTTCCGCGGCGTCAAGATGGTCCCGCCGGGCGTTCACTTCGTGCACTGCAGCGCGGCCCGGAGCGGCGGCGGCGCTGAGACGGGGCCGCGCGCGGGGCGCTTCCTCTGCCTGCGGCCGCGCCAGGTGCGCGCGCTGCGCTGGGAGCCGGGCAGCGAGGAGCTGCGGGAGGCCGCGTTGGAAGAGGAGGAAGCGCTCGGGCGGGACCTGCGGGAGATGGACGCGTTCCTCGGGCCGTACCCCTACGAGACCCTGAAGAAGTGGATCTCCCTCAGCGGCTTCGTCGGCGAAGCGGCGGTGGAGCGGCTGCGGCCGGAGAGCGGGCAGATCTCCGCCTTCTCGGAGGTGCTGCCGGTGCGGGCGGGGCGGCACGGCCGGGACCGCGCGGGGCAGAAGCTGCCCCCGTACGACGCGGGCTGCGGGAGTTACGCCGAGGGCATGGCGCGGCTGCCCGAAATGCGGCCGAGAGCGGGCACCGAGATCCGCTTCACCGAGCTGCCGCGGCAGACGTACCCCGACGGCGCCAGCCCGGAGGAGATCACCAGGCACAGCATGGACCTCAGCTACGCCCTGGAGAAGGTGATCGCGCGGCGCTACGCTGGCCGGCCGCAGGAGCTGCTGGGTGAGTGCGCGGCAGGAGAGCCCCGCGCGGAGCTCCGGCCGTGCCGTGTCGTGCCGGGGGCGGGTGGGAGGGTGCTGCCCGGGGCGCCGGTCGGCTCTACGGGACCGGGCGCCGCGGTGCGGCGCGGAGGGGCCGGGAGCACGGCTGGGCTGCAGAGCGAGCTTTTGTTTTTCGCGTCGTCCGTCGTGTTATACGATTCATTCTTTGTCGGAATTGCTGCGCACACGAGTGCAGCGCTCACTCCCTCCTGTGTTCCCATCCCTGCGGCTCGGGGCCGGTGTCTGCACGGCCCGGCACGGGGGATGCACGCTTGCAGAGCGCCGGCAGTGTCTGTGGGATCTGCGCGCCGTTGAGGGCTGCAGAAGCGCTCCGGTAGCTCCGCACGCTGAGTGCCGGCAGCGCCGCTCTGCAGAGCTGGCAGTCACAATTAAAAGCCCTGCCCGGTTATGCTGTGCTTTCTCTCCAGATGGGAGAAGAGCAGAGCATTAGGGAATAATCAGTGTTGGCAGCATCGATTGCCGTTTGCAGAATAGCTCAGAGGACAGAATGTTGTTTGTATGCCTGAGCTAAACCTACAGTTTGTGCAGTCATCTGCAGAGCTTTTTAGAGGATGTGTGCTTTGGTTGTACTTCAGTTTATGTGTTTTGTTTTATTTTTTTTAATACGTGCAGCTGAGTTGCAGTTTGCTTTTATCTGCTTCCTGATTGGGAATGTATACGATGCATTTGAGCACTGGAAAAGGCTGTTAAACATCCTATGCCGTTCTGAAGAGGCCATTGCAAAGTATAAAGAGCTTTATGCCAATCTCATCTTCGTCCTGTATCACCAGCTGAATGAAATCCCGTCTGATTTCTTTGTGGACATCGTCTCCCAGGACAACTTTCTGACCAGCACCTTGCAGGTATGGCTGTGCTATCTCTTGAACAGAGCAGAGGGCGTGCAAGGCATTGAAACAAATTCAGAGAGAAGCTTCAGGAGGAAGTAAGCTGCTGTTGAGTCTGCCAGAGATAGGGAAGCCTGTGTCCTCTGAGGACACATACATTTCCTTTTACGTTTTCGTGATGTTGCTCACACAGAAATGCCCTCGCTCGTCATCTATGAGCTTGATCTGCTATAATGCTTTGCCTTTAGCAGATCAAGCATTTGAAGCACTATGGACTGGAGTTAGTCCACATGCACGTACCAGTGAAGTGAGGCAATGAGAGATGAGACTATCAAAGGCTATTCTGCAGCACAGAATGAGGACTGTGTCTTCCTTATTATGTTTTCCTTGAAAATAGTACTGAAAGTGATCTGGTACATTTGCACGGGTTTGGAGTTTTGGAGTGGCACAACTGACGTGACTGTGTGGAACCAGCATGCTTTTCCTAAAAGTGATTTGGGCTTTCAGCAGTGAAGCTGAACATCTCTGAGAGGGGCTGAGCATGTGCAAAATGATGTCTGTTGATCATTTTTTTCCCTTCCAAATACCATTCATTTAAAAATATGTAGCTTGGCGTAAAAGAGTGCTGATGGTTTTCGTAGAATCATAGAAACATGGGTTGCAAAGGACCACAACACTCATCCAGTTCCAGCCCCCTGCTGTGTGCAGGTCACCAACCAGCAGACCAGGCTGCCCAGAGCCACATCCAGCCTGGCCTCGAATGCCTGCAGGGATGGGGCATCCACAGCCTCCTTGGGCAACCTGTGCCAGTGCCTCACCACCATCAGAGTGAGAGACTTCTTCCTAATATCCAACCTAAACTCTCTTGTCTCGCTTTAAATCCATTTCCCCTTGTCCCATCACCATCCACCCTCGTAAACAGCCGTTCCCCCTCCTGTTTATCTGCTCCCTTCAAGCACTGGAAGGCCACCATGAGGTCCCCCCGCAGCCTTCTCTTCTCCGAGCTCAACAAGCCCAGTTCCCTCAGCCTTTCCTCACACAGAGCTGCTCCAGCCCTCTGCTCATCTCAGTGCCTCCTCTGGACCCGCTCCCAGAGCTCCACGTCCTTCCTGTGCTGGGGGCCCCAGGCCTGGACGCAGCGCTGCAGATGGGGCTCACAAGAGCCAAGCAGAGGGGGACGATCGCCTCCCTCTCCTGCTGGCTGCCCCTTTTTCATGCAGCCCAGAACACAGCTGGCCTTCTGGACTGCAGGCGCACACTGCTGCCTCATGGCCAGCTTCTCGCTTTTGGTCAGCCTGAAAGGTGTGCTCAGTGTGCACAGAAGTTGCAGTGAAACCTTATTGAGCTGAAGGCATAGATAGCATTTAAGAAGCCTTTCTGCTCCTGCCAGCTGTATGCAAAAGTGAAGATTTCCTGAAATTGTAGAATCACTCAGGATGGAAAAGACCCTAATGATCATCAAGATCTTGTTCATAGGGCATTTGTGGTTTCCTACCTGCAGAAACACACTGCTTGTGCTGAGACAGGCGTGGGCAAATCTGTACTTCAGCAGTAGTAAAACTAGTTACTCCCAGTCACTGTAACTGCTAGCAGATCAGCAGTAGACTGAAACTTTAAATCTAAGGAAAACGTGATTTTAAAAATAAAAAACCATAAGCAAATATGCCAGTAAATCCCAGCAACAGAAGCTCAGTCCCAGCAGGAGCAGCTGTGTGCCTGGAGTGTCAGAGGTGTTCAATATAAGTGAGCAGTGCCTTCCCTTTCTCAGGGAATGGCCCCATTTCTCTGCTGGGCACTCCGGGTTCTTGCTGTGCTCCTCTTTGTTTTTTGAGGTGTTTGTTTTTAACTTGCTGGATGAAATGATATGAGAAGCATTGTTTTAATCAAGCAATTGATTTTATTTGCCCCCACTGAAATTTTTAAGAATTTAGGTGCATAAAAGTCTTTATTATTATTGTTTTATTTTCTTTTACCATTCCTTTAGGTGACTGGAAAATCTGCTTCTATCTACAGCACACTCACAGAGCAACTCATTCACTAACCCTGTGAAATGAGAGCAGCACAAAGAATGCAGCAGCCAGCTGTTCCTTCCATGCAGTGGGAGTTCTGCAAGCACTCTGTCTTGCTGGTTATCCTCCCAGTTCAGGGGCACCTGAGTCTTTTGTGCCCTTGGATTTCATCTGCTTTTGTTTTTTATGTTGGCTGATGAAGCGGATGCCCTTAGCGTGGCTGTGTTGCCTTCAGTGATTACTGTTAGCCCCTGGCAGCAGTTACCACTTTTCTGGTAGAAAAGAAGAAATTTGCCTTTCGGTCAAACAGAGCCTCTCCTGTGAGGGGTTCTGCAGTTCTTAGCTCCTGTGGGGTTCCCCTGATGTGCTGAAATAGTGCAGGGGACCTCTGGGACTTTTAGCACTGGATATGTGCAGGTGG